AAATGTACTGAATACCTGTGGCTGCTTCTGCCGTGCAAGGGTAGAGCTGAGCGGTAGTGACAGAGACCACAAGGCCTGCAAAGCCTGAAACATGTCCCATCTGCACAGAAAACGCTTGCCCTTTCCAGGAGTTGGCCGACCCCAGGTCTAAGCGATTAGACCATCTGCAGGGGGAGAGAGCCTGGTGGTGCTACCATCTTACCCAACGGAAGCTGTTTGTTTGTTTGTGGGAAAAGGAGTCTCAAGACCCCAAAACAAAATGAACAGATAATTAGACAATTTGATCCTTATTTTTTAAAAAAACTGCCGGAAATCATTGGTAAATCCACCATGTCAACGTCAGAACTGATTTCTGGTGAGAGACCAACGGACTCCAAAGAATGTGCCTTTTACTACCACTTGGCAAAGAAGCCCTCACCACCCATGGCCACCCTCTCCCATGTCTCCTTTTTTTTTTAAGTGCTCTGAAGGATAGCAAATGTATCTCTTCTGTATAAGTAACAGTATCATTGGTGAAAATGACTGCTAAAGAGCGAAGAAGATGCATGACCCAAATCCCCGCTCAATAAAACGGTGACTCTGAAAAGGAAATTGCCTTGCTTGGCGATGGATTCTATTTCAGCATCGTCGTGACCCAGGTTGTGTGGGCGTCCAGGGACCCGGGGCCTGGCGCTTCCCGGCAAAGCAGCTGCAAAGCCCCACGGGGGCTGTGAGATGCCCTGTGCAGGGCCAAAGGCGACCCACAGCCCCACCGCCCCTCCGGGCTGCAGCGCTCCGCGCCGAGTCCCCAGAACTGCCTCCCACCCGCGTGACCCCCTCCTCTCCGCTGACCGACCCCAGGCCAGGCCTCACTGAGTTCCCAGCGAGACAGCGCTGACTCCGGGCTCCTGACCATCGCTGTGTTGTGGGGTTGTTGTTTTTTTGTTTTGTTTTGTTTTGTCTTGTCATGTGTGTGTGTTCTCTGTTCTGCAGCACGGGAAGGAAGATCCGCAAGCACAGGCAGCCGCCGTTGCTTAGACGGCCTTCCGTGAGAGATCCCCAGTCAGTCTCCCTGAAGACGACGATCATGGGAAGTGAGGAGGGTTTTGAACGTTTCTCGGAAAGAGGACATGAGATGCTTGAACGGTGCTTGTTTCTCCCTTCCCGGTTCCCCAGGCAGGGTTTTCCAGAGGCAAGGCTCAGATCCAGGGATGAGCTATGAGTTCTGGGCGACGTGCTGTTGATCACGGGACCGCCTGCCCGTTCGGAGCAAAAACGACGCTGCGCATCATTCTCTCTGCACCTTGCTGAGGGGCACCTCAAACCGAACCCTTTGTTTCCTCGAGGAAAGAGGGGGTGGTGCCAGGAGCTGTGGCGGTCCCTACTTTCAGCATCCGGGGGGCTGCGAGGTGGTGACATGGTGCCCACCACCAGGGAGGCGTCCTCGGGGACCCACAACCTCAAATGCTTCCTGGCAATCGCTTGGGAAGAAACTTTGTTTTGTTTTTGTTTTTGTTTTATTTTTTTATTTTAATCATTGTTCAAATACAGTTTTCTCCTTTTTACTCCCAATCCAGTCCCCCCTCCCACCCGAAACTTTGTTTTTCATTGTCTGTAACGGCAGGTGTGAGCAGATGTTTATCAATATCGATCGATCACTGTCCATTCGAATGTTGGGCTCTGTAGTAGGGGAGCTTGAAAAGGTGAACCCTTTCCACCCATTCTGTGGCCATCGGAATGCTGTAAACACACAAACAAATGTTCTTCCAGAACTAGGAGTATTTGCCTTTTCTCTACATTAAATTGTACGTGTTCCTTGATATTACTGTTTCGAGGTAATTGGCAGTATTTCAAAAGGAATGCCATATTTTGGGACAGTCTATCTTAGAACCTATCAAAATAAGTGGATCTTACCCTGGCTGGCGTAGCTCAGTGGATTGAGCGCGGGCTGCGAACCAAAGTGTCGCAGGTTCGATTCCCAGTCAGGGTACATGCCTGGTTTGCAGGCCACAACCCCCAGCAGCCGCACATTGATGTTTCTCTCTCTCTATCTCCCTCCCTTCCCTCTCTAACAATAAAAAATAAATAAAATCTTTTTTAAAAAATAAGTGGATCTCTTAGTTTTGTTCTCCAGAAGAGCCGTACGGTGACTGCGGTCAGTGAGAATGAATCAGCTGATTGACGCCTCAACCCGGCTGCACACAGAGCCACCTGGGGACGTTTCAAAAACGCCAGCTGGGCTGCAGTGCCCAAGAGAGTCTCCCTTAGTCACCCAGAAATCGGTCTAGACGTGGATTTTTTTTTCCTCTAATCTCCCCAGGGTTTCACTGACCACGTGGAGACTGGACCTGAGCACCTCATAGAGGACTTGTCACTTTACCCGAGGGTGACCTGTGCACATTGCCTCCCTCTCTCTATAGACGGTGAGCTTCCGAGGGGCCGGAGTTGTGTCTCCTTCATCTCTGAGTCTTGTGGTGGACAGAAGTTGGTTCAACTCCCAGAGCCTGCCACAGAGTGCCAGCCCTGCGGAGGGAAGGCAGAGAGGAGCCCTAGGAGGTTTCTTAAGCAAGGGTGGCCGGGCCGTATGTACCCTGTGGCCCAGCCCTGTGGGTGTGGGTGATTAGATTAGCCCAGAAATAAGCACCTGAGCTACGGGGGTCCCGTAGCCCATAAGGAGGCCTCACGCAAAGCCTCAGTCCAACTCCAGCGCCTGGTTAGTGCCCTGCAGGGCCGATCAGTTCCTTCCACTAAAGGAGTTTAAATGTGAGATCAACAGAGAGCTGAGCAGTTGGTAGCAGGAGCAGAAGCCAAGAGACACCCGGGGCAAAACAGCAAGAGAGAGAGGAACTGAATCACCTTGGCGGCTAAGCCTGTGAGTAGGGATCGGAGGCAGATGCCTGCAGCTCAGGGGGCAATGAGAGAACCCAGCCACAGATCCGTATCCTGAATGACCTTCCAGTTCCTGAACTTCAATCCAGTGTTCGTGAGGCCTGGCTGGGTGGCCTTTCCGGAAGGCTTTTCGGAGACACGTGGCTGAGTGGCGGAGATTCCGGTCAGCCTTCCTTCACAGTACACTCCCGCTCCTTAGGGTACACTCAGTGGTGTCTGTTCCTTGCAGCCCCCCGAAAGCCCCCTCAGCACAATTCCCAGGGCCGGGCGAGCACTTTGCCTGGCACGTAACAAGTGCTAAGTCATTTCAGGTGCTTGGACGGCGTGACCGTCCCCCCGCCCCCCGCCCCGTGAACACAGTTCTGAAAATGAGGGAATCATTCACGGTTGGAACACGGACCGGTGTTGCCTTCGAATGCCAAACACATCGCTAAACCAGGACAAATAGATGGAGCTTAGGTCTTGCTCCCATTCCCGAGCCCATCCGCACCCCTGCCAGAAACGTATCAAAGGGCACCACGGCGCTTTCTGCGGAGCAGCGAGCATCCTGACTTCAGCTCGGTTTGTTTGGAGGACAGGGTTTCCCTTCCGCTCAGCCCTCCATCACAGGGACCTTTGTAAGAGCAATGCGCCTCACACACTAGCTTCCCTGACAAACCCCCGAAGTAGGTGACCTTTGGCTTTTAAGACGTGTCCTACTACGCGATCCCGCGCACCCACCTTGCCACACACATTTGCCCGGTCGATTGTCTGTATCAGCCGCTTGAGGAACACACGCTCCCCAACACACCGGATGAGTCCTAAAATAAGAGGTGCGTGGATGTAAACTGAGCCTGCTGACGCTTGCCCTGGCTCCAGCTGATAAAATGAAAGAGGTCCCACTGCATTCACGGCCAGTGGCTTCCAGTAAGCAGGTTTCTGCTGAACACAGACGTAACCGTTTTAGCACATTATTTTAAAGGTAGGGCTGAGTCCGTGCCCGCTGCGTGGATGAAACGTATCCGTGGGTAGGGTCATGTGCAGGGTGTGTAAGGACTTGCCCTCCTCACGTCCTCTATCTACCGAAGAAGGCTCTGGCTGCTTCTGGTGGTAACTAACCCCCCAGGCAGAATGCCCGGAGGGTCTCCCAGAGATCAGGGACGGGGAGCTGGGTTCCCCGCTCCCTGAGAACTCAGCACCCAAGGCACGCTGCCTGCTTAGGTTTCCCATCTGCATTTTTCGACAATCTGGATAAAAGCAAGCGTAGCCCAACCTCCCCTGACCTGTCCCTGATGAGGTGACCTTACGCCTCTGGAATTGGGATTTCGAATGTATGTGCCTACCCCGTGTCTGGTGTTATGTTACAACAGCATGAAAATGGAGCCTCGGGTTGAGGAGCCGGCCAGCCTCAGAAGCCTTCTTCATTGCCGGCCATGTAATACGTGATATGCAAAGCCTCTGACTTCAGCCAGCAGATATTTGGAGACTGTGTTGGCCCAGCATGGGGACTCAACTAATGTGTGTTTAGGTCAGAAAGCGAATCAGAAAAGCCACTGGAGGGCACGTCACGGAGCGAGCACCCTATAAATTCGTCCCCACTCGCAGCGTCCCCTGGCAAACGCTCGGCCTCCCTCGCTGGCTGCTCCACACCTCTCCTTCGTGGTGCTGGGGAGAACTCCCGCCCGCAGCTCCTCTCCTCGCCGCGGCCTTCTTCTGCCCTGCAGAAACGTCAGGGGGCTAGACACCGAGGAGGAAGGAGAGCCTTCGACAGGCAGGCGCGAGGAACGCTCAGTGTCCCCTCCCCCCCGACAGCGCGCCCTCCTTCAAGGCGCCGGGACGAAACCGGGCGCGCGCGCCACCGTCAAGTTCGGATTGCCCCCTCGGGTTGGACTGCACCGAGCTCCGCACGTTCGTCCGGATCTACCCCGGGAGGAGGAGGCGCGAGCCCGGCGGCGTCTCCACGCGCTGAGCGCTCTCCCTGCACCCCTGGGAGGGGCGCCTCGCGTCGCCCGCTCGCACCCTGAGCCCCCGCCTCCGGAGCTCCGGCGCGCCTCCTCGCTGCTCCGCTTTCCCTCTTCCACCGCCGCCTCCGGACCCCTCCCCTCCCCGGGCCCCGCGCCTCCCCTCCCCCCACCCCGGCCCCCGGCCCCCCGGCCCGGGCTCTCCAGGACCAGCCTGCGCTCCTGGCGCCCTCATGTCTTCAACCGACTCCCTGCGCTGGTTGACGTGGTGTCTCCTTCGGATTTCCAGGCAAGATCTCAGCTCCGGCGGCAGCATCAGCCCGGCCCATCTCGTGCACCCAGGCGCTGCGCCCCGAGAAGGCGCAGAGCGCGGCCGCCGCCGCTGAGCCGCCCGCGGCGCCCAGGGCCCGCGCAGCCTGGTCACCCCCCACCCAAGGCAGCTGCAGCTGCTCCGACCTCGACTTCTGGGGGTGCGGGGGTCGGCGGGGGAACTGTCGCCATCCTTCACCCTTCTCGCGGCGGAGGGGGCTGGAGCCTTGGCCGCCGCCTCCCGCGCGCCCTCGCAGCCCCGAGCGGCCCCAGGATTGCGAACTCGTCGTGCCCTGAGCGGTGGGGCGGGGCTCCGCACTCCGGCCCTCGGCCCGGATGGGTGTATTGGCTGGGACTTGGGGCTCCTGGAGTTAATGTCCAACTGGGGGTCTGCGGAGACCGGATCCGAGGTAAGTGGAGAAGCGGGCCCAGGTGGAGGGGGCGGGTGGTGCCTGAGTAGCCGGCGGGCACCGCGGGCTCCAGGGCGCCGTCAGAGACAGCGGGCGCGGCTGCACCCCAGGGCAGGCGGGGAGATGGGAAAGAGCAAGGGCTAGGGGGAACCGAGGCGCCGGGAGGCAGAGGGGGGAGAGGCTTGCCTGGCGGAGGGGCGGGTTGCCTTCCCACGTGGGCAAAGATCCCTGGTGCCCCTGACGACTGTAGACCTCGGAATGTCGGAGAAGGGCAAACAGTTTCCCTCCCCGACTGCGCGGGGCTCTGTTCTGACCAGTCCCGGGACGGTGCGGGGCTGAGGTCATCTTTGAACCCACCGCCACCAGAAGGGGGGGTGGGGGGGGGACGTGTCGCTGCACAGATAGCTTTGCCGGGAGTGAAACTCACTGACGAGCTTGTCTGGGTTGGTTCCAAGCAAGGCACAGCGCAGGCCCCCGAGGGGCTGCTGTAAAGGTGCTCGGGAACCTAAAAATAGAGGGCTCACCTCCTCCGGGCGCGGTCTCGCAAAGCCACATTCCTCGCCCTTGTCGGGTCCCGGTTGCTCGCGCGTTCCAAAGGCCCGCGCCCCCCAGCTAACCGTCCCAGCAGTAAACTCAGGAGAGGGGCGCCCTGGCCAGGTCGGGACCCCCGTCCCCCTCGGACAGACATTTGGAACTCCCCGAGGCTTCTCCGTAGGCCCTCGAAGTGACCGTTTCAATGACCTCTTTTGTCCCGGACTCGGCCGCCTCCCCCACTGCACCCCCTCCGCTACCTTGCACCACCTCGGGGCAGATTTCGTCGCGGTTCGGTTTCCAGCCCCACCCGGTGCAAACCAGCCCTCACCGTGGTGGGGAGTGGACTTTCGCCGGACCCCCACTGCAGCCGGTTGGCGCCCCCCTAGTTTCGGCTCCGGCAAACGGGTGCGCAGGGCCGACGTGCGCGCCCGGGTGGCCGGGGGCCCTCCCAAACCCCGTGCTGCCTACATTTCTGCTTATTGGCGAGGACAAATACAGCCCCGGCCGCGGATGTGTCAGAGCGCGCTCGGCTCCTCCTCAGGGTTTTGAACCCACACCGAAAGTACTCCAAGGGAGAGGTGCCGCTTCCAACCTCATGCAAACACGTCTCCCCCCCCCCCCAAGCCCTTCCCGTGGGAGCCCCGCGGCCCTGCGCTTCCAGCCGGCCCCGAGGAGGTCTCGCTCCCGCGGTTTCGCACGCCTCCGCTTTGGCGGGGAGAGGGGACAGTGTCGCCTCTTCAACAAGCGTTAGGTGCCCGGGAAGCCCGCAGCGTCCCCGCCCCCACTCTCTCAAGGGGCTCGGGGAGGCCCCCTGGACCTGAAACCCTGTCTCAGGCCCTTTCACAGACAGACCCCTCGCCAGGCTGTCTGCAGAAAGCGTGCCTTATTCTTTCTCCTTCCCGGGGTCTTGGGCCCAACCTGGGGACAGTTAAGTCCTCGGACAGTCTAGGACACGAGGCACACAGTGAAGCGAAGCAATACATCTTTCGGCAACTTGCGTTCCCACCCCAAAGGAAAGCCACGAGTTGCAGCACGCACACCCCCCACGCGCCTCCCCGTTCTCTCCCTGCGATCCGGATCTTGAAGGCGAAGCCCGAAGAAACCTCCCAGTCTGCCAGGCGCGAGAAGGCGCGGGGGCGCTGGCGGCGGGGGCGCTCGCCGGCTGCGGCGACGCTGTCACCCAGACCCGGGGCGGGGATGGGGGGGTCTGGGGAGGAGTTCTAGATGCGGTTTGCGGGAAAACCAGCCCAGGTGCGGTGGGGCGAGAACAGCCGGGGCGAGAGGACGGAGAGGTGGGAGGCTGAGTAGCGGGATGCTGGTGAGGACATCCAGAAGTTCCGGGAGTCGTTTGAATTCTAGAGGATGGTAGGGGGGGAGTGCTTGTTCCCCGCTTTGATACACGAAATGACCACGCAGCCTCCCGGACGCGTGGGCGCTGCGTGCTGCGGCGGTTTCTGGTGCCCCCTGGTGCCGGGAACTCAGAAGCGCCCCGGGGCGAGCGGCGGCGGCGGGGCGCGCCAGCTCTCCCGGGGGTCCTTTCCGCCCGGGGCCTGGGGACCACCAGGTGCCGACGCCCGCGACACACCCGCTTTGCCCTGCGTGTTGGGTACCAGAAGGGGTGCGGAGGCCGATTTCGTGGCGAGAGCTTGGTTACCGCACTAGGCAGCGGTTTAAGAAACTTGGGCGCGTAGTCCAGGCGGCAGAAATACGTCGGGCAGAGACGGGCAGGGAAGCCGCGGGCCGGGGTGGCGGACGGAAGGGCCCGGAGAAAGCGTCGCTGCAGACAGACCGCTGCGTGTGCCCAGCCCCGAGACCCCCTGCTCCTCCCCCGGGAACTGGGGAGCCTCTCCGGCTGGAGCCGGCCCTAGCGGGGCTCAGAGCGGAGACGGCGCCCTCCCTAGTCCGGGGTGTTGGGAGAGCTCTTTCGGGGCCTGCGCTGCGCCCGGCCGGGGGCGGGATCGGGAGCCCGGAGCCTCCTCTGGCGAGGCGGAGATTTCCACCGTTTCCTCTTCTGCCAGCTTCGCCACACTTCTAACTGAGAGGATCTCCACGTCCAATTTAAAAAGCCCTCCGTCGGCCGAGCAAGGGGGGAAAAGGAAAACCGCTCTTAATGCCGACGAGAAATCCGGTGCCCTCCGCCCTTCCTGCGGGCGGGCACCGCGATCTGGAATTGTGCGCGTTAACCCCGCGGCCGCCTGCTCCCCGGGGCCGCCAGCCATGTCGCACGCTCCCGGGAGCTGGCACCCGGCGAGGGGGCGGGAGGCCTCGCGTCCCCTCGTCCTCCCTGCTAACGCGCCTCGCCGCGCTCGCTCGTGCTGCACGGCCCGCGCGCGGTGCTGCCTGGGTGGGTGCGCCCGAACCCAGGGCCTGGGCTTTTTCCCGGGCTTGTAAACTAACCGGCGCGGATGAGGCGCCTGGAGCCGCAGGTCGCCCAGGTTCCTAGTGCCCGCCAGCTCGGGGATCCCAACAGCCGCGCGGCGAACCAACAGACGCCCTAGGGATGGAAAATGCATCCGTGTCCGCGGCGGCGGGAGGTGGCGGCCGCATTAAACGCTCCCACGGGTGGCCTGCGCAGGAACCCGGGCGGCAGTTCTGGGTGGAGACGGGGGAGGAGAAGCGGCGGCTGCTGGAAGGGAGGCGGCAGGCCTGGTTTTTCATGGAGACGCAAGGCTCCTTCCCGCGTTTTTGCATGACCTGGAAACTGTCTCCCCTGGGAAGAGTTCAGAGATTTTCCTAGGAATCCGTCTTATTTGGAAGAGGGGGTGATCAAGCGCACGAATCCTGTGGTCTCCACTTAAGAATTTCGTTTGGAAGCTGGAACCCCGGCTTTGGGTGACAGCCGTAGCCGCGCCCGGGTTCCCTCCCCGCCTCCTAAGTGGAGAGAGTTTGGCCCGGAGTTGACGGAGCCTTTTTCTCGCCGCCCCCTCCCGCGTGCGTGGCCCTCTCCTCTGGGAGTGCCAGGGCTGAGAAGCCAAACGGGGCCCCTTCGCTGAGAAGGGCTGGGCCCCCCGTGAGTGCGCGTGGGCGGCCTAGGCCTTCTGCTGCCGGTGTGAACCGCAGAGGCCGGGGCCCAGGTACCACCGTCCAGGAGTGACTAGGAAGGGGGGGAAGGGGGGGCGAGGCTCGTCTGGGAGGGAAGGGATGTAGGTCGGAATCTCACAAAACTGCAACAAGAAAGGTGTCCGGATATCCCCCGAAGGATGAACATTTGTCAAGACAGACGCAATCCCCACCTAAAGTCGATGCCGGAGCGCTGATGCAGCGCTTACTTGACGTTCCGCCAGGCTTCTTCGTACGTTACTTCATATTCACACCTTCAGGAGGGGGGGCCAGTAGCATTTTAAACCGAACCGATGCTTCGGGGAGTCACGTTATGTAATCTCCTGCCGGCCGACAGTCTGCACGTCTCCACTAACTTCTTGTTCCGACGACAGAATAGGTGGGAAGAATGAGGCGCGGGCGGCGGGTGGGTAGAAGGTGCCACCGAGCCTGCCCCGCCTCGCTGGGAGCGGGGTCGGGACCCCCGGGCCAGGGTCGCTTGCTTGGGGTGAGAGGTGGTTTTCCGGAGCCCACGAGAGCCGCCGCCCGGCGGGCAGGGGAGGTCTCTGGCTGGGGCAGAGCGCGGGCACAGCGCGGGGGCTCCCCGGGGGCCGCCGGAGGACGCAGGCGGTGCGCACCAGAAATGGGGACTGGTGAGGAGGCCCGGTGTCATCGAGTTGACAAGGTGTCCTGGTGTCGTGGTGTTGGGGACCTGCGCTGGCAGCGGCCCTGGTCAGAAATAAGACCCCTGGGAAAGGGCAACAGAGGAGGAAGGCAGTGGTGTCTGGACACCGAGAGAGAGCGCCTCGCGCTTGGGGCGCACCAGGAGGGGGAGCAAGCGGGGGACTTGGAAGGAGGACGGAGATGCCCGCGGAACCGCCGGGCTGCCGCGGCCTCGGAGGACGGCGGTGCCTAATTTGGAGGGGGCGCGGGGATGCTGCACCCAGGGCGGCGCCCAGGCTTAACTCGCGTTCTCCGGTTCTCTCGCCCGCGGGCGCAGGTGCCGCCGCCGGACGGGACTCTAAGATGAAGTTATGGGATGTCGTGGCTGTCTGCCTGGTGCTGCTCCACGCCGCGTCCGCCTTCCCGCTGCCCGCCGGTAAGAGGCCTCCCGAGGCGCCCGCCGAAGACCGCTCCCTCGGCCGCCGCCGCCGCGCTCCCTTCGCGCTGAGCAGTGACTGTAAGAACCGTTCCCTCCCCGCGGGGGGGCCCGCCGGCGGACCCCCACGCGCCCCTGCCCGCCGCCGGCGCACCACCCGAGCCGGCCCCGACGGCGGCACCGCCTCCCCGCCCGGTGGGCAGAGAGCCGCGCTGGTGCAGCGGGCGGCTGCCGTCCAAAGGCCCCGCCGCCTTGTCGGTACGGGCCAGGACACACCTGCTGGTTTGCCCGGCGCAGACCGAGGGCGTCCCGCCTCTGTCCTGGCCATTTAGCGTTCCGAGGAGCGGGTAGTGTCTCCACCACCACAGGGAAGTGCACCTGTGCCCTTTCTCCCCTTCCCCAGCAACGCCCCCTCTCTCTCTCACACACACACACACACACACACACACACCACGCATTTTTTTTCTTCCTTCCCAAGCCCTTATCTGTCTGGGCGCGCCGAGCTGTGCTGGCTTCTGAAAACAATTGCGTTTCCATCCGAAACTACCCTTGAAAAGGAAGAGGAGGCCTCGGCCTTCCCCAAACCAAGCCAGAGAGTCAGAGGAAATGCAGGAGGGCCTCGGTTCCCAGAACAGGCGTCTGGGCAGCGTCAGATCTGTTCAGAAAAGTTGCGGTTCTAGAAAGACGGAGGGTGAACCCCGTGGTAGCGGGTCCTGGGGTGGGGGGAGGGTCGCACTCTAGTTCACTCCGCACGTGACAATGTTAACTCCTAAGAAAAGAAACCAGGTTATTCATATCAGAAAATAAATCCGTTATGGTGCTTCTCACAGATGTTTTAGGGGGCACTTTATTAAGGGCATGCTAGCCAGGATTTGATGGAATTTACCCTCCATGCTTCCGTGAACAGAAGTTTGTCTGTTACGTAAGGCAAGGCATGCCACAGCACAAGTCAGAGATTGTTGGGGAGGCATGGAGGTAACAGGGGGAGAAAATCGGTCCCCAAATGCAGCAATGGTGAGCTATAGCCAGAGTGCCACCCTGGCTCCTCCCCCCTCACATGACCCCTGCAGCTGTTGTGCACTTGAAATGCCCTGTAGTCATGTGCACAGTGGAAGTGGTCCCCCAAGTCAGTTGTATGTATGTTAAGGGGCCCCCAAACCCTGCAGCCTTGGGCTAAGCACAGCCCAGCAAATCTGAGGCACTTACTTCATGCTTCATTACAAAAACAAAAGCATATTGTGCCAGAAGTCCCCAAAAAGGAGAAAAGTCCATTTTTCAAGGCAAATTAAGACTCCGAGAGTGACTTCAGTTAGAAAGAGGACCTGTTTGATTCGTTGAGATTCGAATAACTGTTGCGAGAGCTTCTGTCAATTAGTTGTACTCTACAATCCTATTTTTTTAAAGGTTTTATTTATTTATTTTCGGAAGGAAAGGGAGGGAGAAAAAGAGAGAGAGAGAGAGAGAGAGAGAGAAACATCAATGTGTGGTTGCTGGGGGCCGTGGCCTGCAACCCAGGCATGTGCCCTGACTGGGAATCAAACCTGCGACACTTTGGTTCTCAGCCCGCGCTCAATCCACTGAGCTACGCCAGCCAGGGCTACAATCCTATTTTTAAAGGCTTTGGTTTCAACCACAAATTTCTATCTTAGTCTATATAAGTGAGTCTCTAACAGAAACTTAAATTGAAAAGACCCCTCGGTGCCATGGCCTTTAGAACGGTGTGCATGAGAGAGCTAAGTGCACGTTTCCTTCATTCGTGCTGCTGGGCTGGAGGGCCGGGACACGTGGGGGGTGGGAGTTCTCTAACCGGCCACGCAGGACGGCAGACTCACTGCCTGGTCAGGACAAGACCTAGTTAGCACATTGATGTCCTGTCTCCCTGGGCTGAGTTGGGCCTGGCTCCTGGTTCTGCCTCTGCTTCCACCTGACTCTGTGACTTGGGAAAAGTTACTCAATTGCTTGGAGAACTTTTAAATGAACAATTTAAAAGTGTACGGTAAAGGAAGGCCTTTCCCCTCCAAAACGCCAGTGGGTGTGAGTTTTGCCCCCTGGCCTAACCGCCTCTGGGGAAAGAAGACTCCAAAGAGACCCCTGCTCACTGGGATGAACGCTGATCCCAGGGCCTCACCCTAAGAGGTTCTGATCTAACGGGGTGGGGTGTGGCCTGGGCATCTGGATATCAGATGTGCCCCAGGTGAGTCTCCTGGGGCCGCCAGGGTTCAAGTCCCTCTGACCTGATTGTAGCCCACGAAAATCTGTGTCTCGTGGAAGGGGCCCTCCATCCCAGAGCCAGGCGGCGTTGTCCCTGCCGACTGGGCCGTGGGTGGGGAGCGCGTGTTGTCGGGGGAGGGAGATCACTTCCCTTTCCCGGAGCCGATGCTAAGTCACCAGTGGACAAGGTCTTGACCACTCTATTTACATGGGAACCCGCGGGACACAGCCAGTTCTGTTTTCCCGGTGGGAAGGCCCAGTAGATCCTAGAGGAAACTTGCAAGGGAAGCTGAGTGGCGTCCTAAGCCAAATTGAGCTCTTTCCAGGTATGTTCAACTCGGTAGCGGGCTGTCAGCGCAGGGAAGGCAGTCTGAAGTCTGCACAATGACAGTGTGCAGGCTTCGCACACTCGAGCGTGTCAACGCACCCCTGTCACTGTGCTGACATTCACATCCTGCTCCGCACGCCGTGCACCTGGTCCGGGCTCGTGCGGAAAAGCATGAAGGCGCTTGTTCTAGTTGAGAGTGTGAAGGACCGTCAGTCCTGGCCCCTCTTCTTTTCAAGGGCTTGTCGCTTAGTGACGGAGCAAAAGGCCCTTTGGTGCCACCCGAACCGTCGTTCTGTGCTGTTCACAGGGGCCTGGGCTGGACCCCACCCTCACACTCACCCTGAGCTCGCCTGTGTTCTGCGGGCCCAGTGTCCACGCAACAGCCAGAGTTCTACTCCTGGGGTGAACTATCCAGCTGGAAATCGTAACCAGCTCCCTGGCTTCCCGAGAGGTTGGCTATCAAGTGAATGGGCTGTGGCTGCCCCCTATACCAACCTCGAACTTGTCTGAACTCAAGGCCTTGTGATTTTCCTAGTGGGCCATCCAAGACCTTTTCCTTTAGCGACCGTTGTTCTTTCGTTTTGCTTTTTTGCCAGTGTCTTCTCCAAAGGGCGACTAAAGGAGGCAGTGAGGGGTCTAGAAGGGGAAACTCACAGATGCCGTAGTGTTTCAGAGCCGAGAGGGAGCCCCCAAAGCAGACTGTCCACGTGCCAGAGGCCCACGGTGGCGGGAGGCAGGTCTTCTTCGGAAGCCGGGGCCAGGGTTTCCCAAACCGCTGCAGTGCACAGAGACCGTGTGACGCTGCTCCTTACGGGGACGCACTTTATGTGGGAGGAAGGCCTGCAGCTGATGACCAAAGCCATGTTGCAGAAGGTCGCCTGAATGTCGTAGTGAATCTCAGTCACTTCTACATCACAGCTGCATGTGACGGCTCCCAGTGGGTCTCACAAGGAAACGCACGATGTGCGTGTGGCTTTAAAAATCTGCGGTCTAAAAACATTTATTCACTCAACAAACGGTTCGTGTGCGCCTGCGTGCGTCAGGCACTGTCCTGGGTGCTAGGGACTCCTGGCTCCGAGTGAGGGACGAAAGCCCTGCCTTCGCACGTGGCACGTGGCACGTGGTGTCCGGTACACGTGTGACGTGTGGTACAGTCTGGTCGCGTTATAAACTGAAGCTGCACATGAAAACCCTTGGGCTGGTAGGGTGGCTTCTTCTGTGGGCCTGGAGGCCAACGAGGAGAAGCCCTGAGCGAGCGAAACTGCAATTACAGGTCATCCACAATGTGTTGTAGTTCAACGGGATTGTATTCCGCCAGTTTGGTAGCGAGTCACAAAATTGCCTGTGGGAACAAACTTCTGAAACAAGCTATCGAGTTCCCGGGCTAGCCCACGAAAATCTATATAAGCCAGCATGTGACCGAAATCTAACTCACAATCTTATTAGGCTAGAGAGAGAGCCTCCTCCGGGGGTGCCAGGTCCCTACGCCTGCAGGAGGGCCGAGAGCGAGAAATCAGGGCGTTTGGGGAAGCAAGAGCTCAGGTTCACACTGTCAGATGAGACCGTGGTTTGGATCCCAGCCTTGCCCCTTCGCCGGCTGTTACTGAGCATCTCTTAAACCTCAGTTTCCTCATCTGTGAAATGGGGATACTGTTCAGCCTGCCTCTCGGGGTGGCCACGAGGGTTAGATGAGGTGATGCTTTGTAAAGCCCCGGAGATACAAGGACTGTAGTTGTCATCTGTCGCCCTCCCACTCCAGCGGCCCCTCCCCGTGCTCCTGCCGCAGCCGGCCTCCGCCAAGACGGGGCTCTAACTGGTGGAATTCCAAGCAGCACTACATAATTTGCAGCGTGAAAGAAATGCAGGCCTCGCGGCGAGGCTATTTTGGGCTCCCCGGTCACTCGGCTGACCGGCACGTAGGCGGGTCAGCCCTGCCTGGGATTCTGCCCCTGGGTCGGCTCCCCCCGGCTCTTCCCAGGTCTCCCTCCCCCCCATCTTCTGAGCCCACACAGTTCCTATGGGATTTTTCCCACCAGACTCCCACAGCCAGGTCAGGGGGCCCTCTCCCCCGTGGGGAGACGGGGGCCGAGGCAAACCGAGATCTCCACATGCGGGTGGTAAGGGGGCTGTGAGTCGGGGGCTACCTGTATTGAGATACAGTGTCACTGTCTTACATGATCCCGGCTGGGTATTTAATGGAAGACGTTTCATATGCTCAGCAAAACACTTCTAGGGAACTTCAGTGCAACCCGCTGGTGCAGTGGTAAGCTTTCCCACGTGACGTTCTGGGAGGTTGAGTTCAGAACCGATACAGTGCCCATCTGTTGCTCCCTCCTGCCTTCGGGGCTGCGCGGATGAGCACTGCCGTCACAAAGTAACTGCGTGAGCTGGAAAAGGGCTCTGCTGTGTGGGACCAGGCTCTTGGCGTCAAGAAATGGCACTTCGGACTCTCGGGAGGCACTGATTCCTGTCTTGAGCGCTGAGACCGACGTCTCACACTGGCCCCTGCGTGGAGACCTATTTCAAACCGCGGCTGTTTAGA